AAAAGGTCACCAAGTGTTTCCCCCACCTCTTCCTCTCCTCTGAGTCTTCCTACTCCCTGAGATGCAACCATATTGCAATCAGACCAACAGACAACCCTACAATAGCCTCTAAGTGTTCAAGAGACAGGGAGAGTGACTCTCACTGGAAAGCAAAAGCTAGAATTGCTTGAGTTTAGTGAGGAAGCCATGTTGAAAGGCAAGTATCTGGCACCAAAGAATGAGCCAACTTGAGAATGCAAAGACACAGTTCTCTACAATGCCACCCCAGGGGGCACATGAATGATAAGAAGGTGATTAGCCAAACATGATTGGTCTGGATAGACCACGAAGGCAAAGCAGAATAATCCAGAGCAAAGCCTTCACTTCAATTCTTTGAAGGCTCACAGAGGAGAGGAGGCTGCAGAAGAAAAGTCTGAAGCTGGTAGAAATGGGCTCCTGGAGTTCAAGAAGCTGTCTCCATAACTTAAAAGTGCAAAATGAAGCAGCAAGTTATCCAGATGATCTAGCTAAGATCACTGAGGAAGGTGACTATGGAAAGCAATAGCTTTTCAATGCAGACAAAGCAGCCTTCTGTAGGAAGAAGATTCTATCTTGATCTTTCAAAGCTAGAAAAAAGAGTTCAATCCCCGGCTTCAAAGAACAGGGTCACTTTTGTGAGAGGCTAATTCAACTGGCGACATGAAGTAGGAGAGCAATAGAGTGAGGTATACCTGTACTTTTATGCACCAGGAACTCCATGTGGAATTTTGGGGCACAAAAGTTATCATTTGGTTAAATGGTTATTGGTTCATTGACAAGAAGAATGTATATTACAGACTTTCTTTGAATAAATACTTGAGTTGCAATGAAGTAGAACATTTCAGTATAGAAACAACCAGATGTTATATATTTAATATTCATAATAATTTTCCCTTAGTGATACCAGAAAACTGCCTTTTACTCCCTTTTCTGAAATATTAATAATTCCCTGATATTGCATCAAACAACAGCTTACAGTGAAGATTATTCAGAATTAGATATCTTTCAATAAATTCTTTATAGACAACATTTGTTCATCAGTTGATAATGGGAGTCATGGTAAAGAACAATTGGTAATTCCTGTAGCCAACTTTATTTTTTTTAAGAGATATTTTTATATATTTACGCATACAAGAACTGGTGTATAGGTCAGAGGTTTAGGGGGTAAGAAGACTCACCAGAGACAAAGTGGGGAGCAGAACAGGTGGACTTACTGAAATCCACTGCTGAGGGGAGCAGCGGGAGACAGGAGAGGTCTGCTGCGCCATGGGGGTCACTCCCTGGCCGGGGGTCGAACTCAGGCAACGGTGGCTGGCAATAGCTTAATAGCACTGAGACTTAACCCCTACACTGCCACCAGGCAGGCTGAGCCAACTCTATCTTTTATGAATTGATCCTGGGTATGATTTATGAAAATGCTTTCCAGTGTTTATTAAAATTACCTTATACATGATCACAGTGCAGCAAAGATAAAATGATAAAGGGTCCTTCTAGCACAAATGGCTTAGCCACCGTACCACCTGCAGCTCGTGTCTGAAATGAAATGAGAGCGTGAGATGGGCAGGAGCTATCCTCCCGAGCCCAACACAATGTCCATTCATCTTCCAGAAAGAAAGGATTAATTTATGCTTAATATTTCTAATTTTTGACAGTAGTATCACTAAAATTTATTAACCTTTACTATTTAATTATCCAAAATATTCATCCTCGTTTCCTTTGGGGGTGAAATGAATACAAAGCTTTGTGGCTCTTCTATCAATCACACTAAGACACTAACCAGTGAGAATGACATGTTTGCCTTTATTAAAAAATAGCTAAAGCCATATTCTCACGATCTTCGAGAGCTAAGTTGGGTCACTTCAAGTAGTATTTTCTGTTTTCATATCTGTTCTTCACGTTATAAACTTGTCCCTCATATTTTGGCACTGACACTCATGACCTCATGTTACTTCAATTAATATTTTGCCTAGTTGAGTCTTCAGTTTACACAGACTAGTTTGCATAAGATTGGTTTGCGATATTTGTTCTTGAATCTCAGAGTGCAATCGGCAAATAAAATTCCTCAGGTGTAGTGAATTGTTAGTGGGTATTTATGTATGTGTAAAATTCTGAATTATTTTTCAAATGAAAATTTAAAAACTATTGGTTGGTGAGTGTGTTCTTTCTTTAGGACACATGCTCCAACAAAATACAGCTGCCAGTGTCAGTGCCAGCCTGTGCCTTTGTGCTTATAATTATACCATCACAAAATTAAACCAAATTATGTCTGGCAAAATGCATCAGTAGAGGATTCAAAATAATTTTAATACAAAAAATACATAGAATTTCACCATAATAACATGGAACCCCGTAGCACAGGCGAGTCAAATTCAAAAGAATTTGTGTTCAAGTAACACTGCATCAATTATGATCCAAGATGCCAAAATAAAAATAAGGGAAAGAATAAGAAAGGCCTAAAAACAGGGCAATTCCTCTTTCTAATATAGGATACTAATAATGTGCTTTTAGTGAAGCAACATTGTGAAAATATTAACATTGTGGATTTGAATTTTATTGTTTTACACTTGGGACTGTTTCATTCATTTAATAAAAGAATATACAGCTAACACGAACCATGCGGGAGATCATCAGGTCCAAATGTCTGTTAGTATCTGGTCAGAAGTTACTTTATCTGATTGTATTTATAAGATAAAACCTGACACCTGGGGCTTCTGCACATGTGTCTATGGATTCACTCTAGTGATGTACATGTAAAATCCATGTTGGGGCTTCCCTGGTGGTGCAGGGGTTAAAGACAGTGCTATGAAGCTGTGGCCAGCCACTGCACCACAAGTTCGATCCCCAGCCAGGGAGCTGACCCACATGGCGAGCAGACCTCTCCAGTCTCCCCGCTGCTCCCCTTAGCAGTGGATTTCAGTGGATCCACCTGCTCTGCTCCCCACTCTGTCTCTGGTGAATCCCCTCACCCCTGCACCTCTGACCTATACCCCAGTTCTTGTATGCGTAAATAAATAAATCTTAAAAAAAATAAAATAAAATCCGTATGTCTGTGCTCCACAGAGGCAAACTGTGCACCTGTCAAAAGTCTTTAACATAAAGAGGTAAAATCATTTGTTTTAAAAATCCTTTCCATAAGTAAATAAGCGGACAGACATAAACGCCGGTTCAGTTCCTTTTCTCAATAAATTTAAAAGATCATTTGAGGCAGTCTAGGGAAATTGAGACTGTCCAGGGACAACTGAGCTGCTAAGATGCAAAGTGGCTCAGGTCCTGTTTAAACGGGGGGAGCTGGAGGAGCAGTTCTGTCTTCCTTCTTGTTCAACCATTTTCTTTCACCAGACTGACCCAAAGCACCCCGTGCCAGCGGATCCCTGGCTCATGAATGTCTTGCACTTTCCTGGCGGGGGAGCCTGAGAGCCCAGGTGGGGTGGACGGGGTCTACCCTGCCCAGGTGCGGCCCAACCCAGATCACAGACGACGCCCTCGCCCTGCCTGGTGCGCCTCCCCTTCAGACATCTCCTCCCCACCCCTGCAGGAGTTAAGCTAAACTCCCCTCCCCAGCCCCGAATGCCTTGTGTACCAGCCTCCCATAAAGCCTGGCCTGGTTCACCTGAAAACCTCTGGAGAATTCTTTCTCCTGGAGTCTCTCTGGATCCACACACTTCAGGGAGTCTGCAGCAATGCCATTTACTAAAGCAAAAATCAAAAAGATAATTTGGCTTATAATATATGCAGAAGTAAGAAGTATATGTAGGCAGAAATATAATTACTATAATATAATATAATATATAATATAATATAATTAATATAGTATATAATATTATAATATATGTAGGCAGAAATGCAAGCATATTGTCTTCGACGCGTGGGCATGGCGTATTTCAAAGCAAACTGTATTCTGGAAACCTGTCTGTGTAAATCCTTGAGATCATTCCCCACAGCAAAGCAAGAGGCACAGGGAATATGTCAATAGTGACTTAAAATGGGGAACCAACAATTAAAAAAGAAACACTAAGTTTTATAAAGGCAGGAAAAGATCAAAAAAGTTAATTTCAAATAATGAAAAGCAGCAGAGATGTAGGCTCGACCTTATGATTCGCTTCACCTCCTTTCTCTCCCGTCCTGCCTTCCTACGTCCCTCTCTTCACACTCACGCCTTTCCTTCCTGGCACTCTTTTATTTGGTGTCTTTTCTCCTTGTCAGCGCGTTTTCTCCTCAACGGTCCACACCCATGGAACGATTCTTCACCGTGTGCCGCGTCCGGGAGTTGCTGTAGACGCAGTGTTGGCCCAAGGTGCCTCTTACAGATGCGATTGCTAAACTTCGAAGAATTCCTTACGTCAGTTAATGTCAGACCAGCATCCTGGACTCAGCCCCAGCAAGGAATTCTGCAAAATATTCCATTTCTAAGTCTTACTCTCCAGATGCGTGGTCCTTACACTAGCCCTGCACACCGCCCACAGGTGATGGCTAAACAGAGGGTGGGTGTCACGGAAGCAAAAATACAGTTTTCAAGGAACCCCGTGGACCACGGTTTTGCTCCGTTGAGGAATGTTCTCTGCACAGCCAGGGCTGCCTCCAGGGCTTGGGGTCGAGGCAACAGTGATTCTTGATCTCTGTGAAGACCCGGGGGGGAAACAGGGACTTCAGAGAAGTTCACAGAGGAGCCCCCACCACGTTTGTGAGGTGCAAGAGGGCTGCCTGCCCGTGCCCCCCGGCCAAACAGGCACTTTTAAGATGAGGGATTCAAATACCCTTTGGTCCACACATCTTCCCCGACACAGGCAGCTCCGGCTACGTCAGCTCTGGAAGCTCCAGCGCGTTCTCTGAAGTTAGGAACAGAGTCTCTCATTTCTGAGTATCTAAGTTGGTTAGAAACCAACCTCCTTCATGTCACTGGAAACGTTAAAAGTTAAGGTGATGTCTTCTTTCCTTTGTTAAGAAGAAACAGGTGCTCATGTAACTCACCTGCAGAAACGGAGGCTGCAAGGCCGGGATCAGCCGCTCAGAGCAAACACATGTTGGCTCCCTGGGCCACGGTCTCCGTTTAGCTTTGAATAACCTTTTTCATGCTTTTTCTTTCACTGAACATCGAGTTCTCTTCACAGCGGTGATTCTTTCCGTCCACAGTGTGCAGGAGAAAACAGCCACGGCACGAAGGATCATGAATGTGTTTCGGGGACTCACATGTTACATGGATGACCTGAAAGATAAAAGGAGAGGGCCAGACCCAGCAGCTGAGGCTGGGATGCTGAACAGGGACGGCATCTGCCGAGCACAGGGGCCCACGAGGAAATCTGAAATGAAGCCTGAGACCTACTTGCAAGGTGGAACTGAGGGCACTGCCTGTCACCTGATTTGGGGAGCGCGTGAGTCTCTTCAGTTCAGGCAGATACCAGGTTTCAGGCGTGAACAACTGTTTGGAGCCTCACATCAAACCTGGAGCTAAGATACGGGAGCAAGAAGGAGTTGAGGAAGTTCAGGTCCATTACTGAGTGTGTCCACCCGGCGGAGAACTGCCTGGCCATGGCATGCACATGAGTCTGAAGCTCAAAAGAATCACTTAGGCTAATGATTGACTAGAGAACTTTCAACATACTGCCGACCACCTAAGAGGGCTTCTAAATATTTTGTGCATCATAGATTCTTCACAGAAGCTGATGGAACATTCCAGAATACATAGAAAGTTTGCCTAAATATTTTTGGAATTGAAGAGTATTCTAAAAATTGTCTGTATTCTCTAGTCTATAAACTGCAGATGTCTTTACTGAGAAGAAGTAAGTGTTCATGGTAATAGGCGTAAGAAAGAAAATTCCAAAATAATTTTTTTTTGGAAAAAATCCACTCAAAATTTAATGGGTGTTTTCCTTAGAGTGAGAAATAGTGGTTGAATTATAATCTATATGAAGTAGTTATCGGGATTTTGGCAGGTCATTTTTCTAAGTCTACTAACCAACTTTAAAACTTTCTTAGGGACATGGGCTATTTCTCTTTAAATTTTTTTGACATTCTTGGATTGAAAAAAAATCACCTAATCAGCTGCAATATAATTTAGAAAGATGAAATGATTTTGATTTATGTATCCCCCACTATGGAGTATCTTGATTGCTCATGAATGAAGTAAACATTAATTTATGTTGGCATTTTAGTTACAAAATAAATCACATTCACCATTTTTGATCCAAATCACCGTGAGAGAGCCATGCACCATGCATTCCTCATGCGATAGTCAGTCAGTAATAATATTTCATCTTAGATCGCCAACCTCTTATATAATTATATAATCTTGCAAAATGCAAAATAAGCCCAATGGAAAACATTTACAAAATATGTAGCATCCAATTCAAGGAACATATTCAACTTTGTCAGAGTATTATTAAACTAGGCCAGGTAGGGATTCCAAAGAAAACACATTTTATAGTTATAGACAATTGAAATGTCCTCCCATATTGAAAACAGCATATCCATAGTCTAGTTTGAAATAAAGTTTCAATAAATACTGATGGTTTTATTCAAGTCAATTTCACATTCACTCTCTGCCCAGGGATTGTCAATTTTTTTTTTTTTCTGTAAAAGGCCAGATCATGAATATCTTCTTCTGTACTATGGACTGTCCTGCCTGTGTCATGGTAGAGTGAGATTAGAGAACTGACTATACGTGAATCAGGGATTATGGCTGCTTTCCATTAAAATTAACAACTCGCTAGTTGGATTTGTCCAACAGGAACTCTTTCTAGAGGATACAAAATGGGTCAGATATAGTAAAAATTTCCCCAATGAGAATCAATGGAAATACCGGCTGTGTGTCCACACTGCCTAAGTCAGTCATCGCCAGGCTAGTGACATGTAGTGTGACATGAAGGGAAGAGGCTGAGCAGGAAGCCTGGAGCTCTCCCCCACAATCACCACATCCCTTCACCACAAAGTGGCGGTTTTAGAAAAGCAGCAGGAAAACTCAGAAGCAACAGTGAAGTACTGGGGGAGAATACTAGACCAGGCAGGGATTCCAAGGAAATGGTGGGGGTCTGCCCCCCGCTATTATAATCCTCAGCTTGCATCAGAAGATATTTATGACAGGTTTCCTATAAATTACAGAGACAAACCATAAAAATTACATATCTACAGCTCTGTGTGGTGATAGAGATTAACAATAGACACAGCACAGCCTAGAGACAATAATTGATTATTAACACTGAGAGACTGAAAGCTAGAGATAATGATCTTGAAGATATTCTGGAAGAGGGAAGCTGTTTTCCAAATGAACTATTTGTTCTGAAACTATTTTCCTCCATTTGAATTTTAGGGAACATGTCAAAGGCAGTCACATAAAATAAGAGACCTCACAGCATGAAATACTGTTTTTGTGAGGCCTAAGATTGCAATTTCTAAGCAGACACATTCTGTGCCTACGAAAAAATAAGCACCAGGCTACTTAAGGGAGATTAAATTGTGCGGTTATTACTTGCAAATATAGAAAAGGTCTCATAGGTTCATTTTTTTCAGACACTAAAATTGAAAATGATGGAGTCTAATTTTGGTATGGGTGGTTGTTTTAAGAATAAATATTTCTTTAACCTGACCCATTCCAACCTCCTGACAGATAATTTCTGAAGCAAATCCAAATCTGTCAAAAAAAAAACAGTATTTATCTACACTGATGTCAGCTTTGGCAAGTACAAATTGTCTAAACATTAGGCACAGAATTCATGAGCTTGAATCTTTTCTTATCCACAAACCATTAAGGTAATGACTAGAAAGTAAGGTGAGTGGTTAATTCTTTGTGCATTTATCATGCCTTGGTGAGCATGTTGGAAGTATTTTAAGGTGCATTGTTTCTAATGCTAGTTGAAAACCTACCAAAGTCCTTTTATTTTATTTTTTCTTTTTAAGTGCAGAAGCTTAGTGTGGGGAGAAGTAAAACTTTAAAGTAACATATCAAAAAGACACAAGAAATCTGGGTCTACAAAGGGTTGTCAGAGAGTTGTATGTGCAACCAGACTTTTATACAGTAGCACTTGAACCTGCCCGCGTTGAGAGAGCAAACCTTGCTTTATTGTATGTACACTTACTTATTCTCAGGATACTCTGGTTTCAGTTGTTTATTACTAAACTACTTCTAATATGCGTGATTTAGGGATTTCTTGCCTGAAAGGAATCATGCAAAATAAGTTTGCGGCAATGCACTATCTAATTTAGCATCTACTGAGAAAGACAGTCTTCATTTTCCCTAGAATTTTCATTAATATGAATCACTTGAGAACTCAATTGGGATGAACATAACAATGTCATTTTGCTTATTTTACTTCAATTCATTCAATCATATTTCCTCAATCACAAAACATTACAGGAATTCTCTCCTTAAAACATTTGGAACATTCTCAGAATGAGAGATCACTTGCAATTTTGCCTGTGTGAGACCTCAGACTTTCCTCGTTGATGAATTAGTATTTGTGAAGCCAGAGTAAAAGGGCTTTCAGAAGAACATCTGTTGGGTTGAAAAGAGTTGGTGTTGGGGCCTCCCTGGTGGCCTAAGGGTTAAGCCTGAGCTATCACTGCTATGGCCTGAGTTCCAGCCCCAGCCAGGGAGCTACCCACATGGCGCAGCAGACCTCTCCTCTCCCCCGCTGCTCCCCTCAGCAGTGGATTTCAGTGGATCCGACTGTTCTGCTCCCCACTCTGTCTCTGGTAAATCCTCTTACTCCTTGCACCTATGGCCTATATCCCAGTTCTTCTACCTGTAAATAAATAAACAAATCTTTAAAAAACTGGTTTACAAAAATAGAAGAGTTAGTGTCATTTCCAACATTAAATATGCATCCATGCCTTCTTGATATCCCTCTTGTTTCCTTCTGAATTAGGAATTCCTGACCATGTTTGCACAATTTCTAAAATTTTTACCAATTCTTCAAGATGATACTTGATAGTGATACTTAACAGATAGGCCACTTACATCCATGACATTTAGCTGAGTTTTTCTCAAGGCACCCACAGAGAGTGTTAATCATCCCTCCTTATGCTAGATCCCCTTATTCATACCTTTATGTTATATGAGATCATAGTTATTCTTCAGATCTTGGTCTTACATTTGGTATTTCCCCTCAAGTTGATAGAGTTATATAGAATTTTCTTTTTCTAGTAGCTACAACAGTGCCTAGAGAGCAGGGGATGAAGAAGAGGGTGTAAATTTTTTTTATCATTATTGTTATTATAGTTTATCTCTTCCTTCCTTACTTCATGCAGAATAGCTGCCTTTAGTTCAAAGACGTTCCTTCCGCAACAGGTACCTCTCCTCTTTAGTCTGAGTGACTGTTATATTCTGTGGCACAGAAGGAAAAAAGGTTGTTTCATAAGTAATTTTCCTCTTGTTTTCATATAGTGAAATATTTTCTTATAAACTGAAAATATATTAACAACAATATTAACAGTTTCTCTTATACACCATTCCATATACGTTGTATACACTGGCACCTAAGATCTGTTGAATGGAGGCAGAATCTATTTCCACGTTCCTAATAAGATGGATCAGAGCGCTTACATTAAATTGACTCAAAACATTTACAACTGTTGTGTAAATCCCACTTGACAACTCCAGAGATTTTTATTTTATTATTATCATTTTTTTATTATTGCCATGTTTATAACAGCTTAGTCCAAATAAACAATGAAAATTACAACCTAAAGGCAAATTGTCACTTGTTTTCTTGATTCACTGGTTTTCTGTTGAGATGACAATTCTTATTTAAGATTAACAAATATACTAAGAATTTCTTTGGGAATTACAGAGAATGATATTTGATAATACTAAGAAAATGTATTTGATTCAAATAAGCACATTTTATGCTAGTATTAAAACTATTCATATATCTTAAAAATCTGGAATTCCACACAAAAAGGGATTCTAATTTGATTTTTAAAATTAAATAATGTCTGGCTAGAGCATATTTTTGAGGGACAATTGGCTGGTTTGTTCATCCTGTTATCGGCTCTTAAGTCCTTTTATTCAGGGAGTCATTTCCTCGTGATTACAGAGTCTCCAACATTTGCAGAGACACAGGGAATTCAGAACCCAAAGACAAGCCTGGGCCCTCGGTTTCGCTCCCCTTGTCTCTCCTCCCAAGTGTCCTTTGAGTTTCAGTTTCTGAGAACAATACACCTGCTCATCTGTTGTTGAGTAACCCCTTTTGCCTCAATTACCGCAGGGCT